CTCACAGTCCCAGTTCACCCAACCTTCAGTCCCCACTGAGGACCAGTACAACTTTCCTCCCCAGCCCAGCAGCACCAGTGACAGATGTAGGCCCGGGGCCCTCACAGGACCAGACACTAGAAGGCAGACCACAGCAGGGGGCACAGCAGGGCTCTATGGTGTCCCAGAATCCCTCTCTCCTGTGGGGTCCCTGCATTCATCGTCTCCGGGGGTCTCAGGTATGTCAACAGATTCTAATACAATCTCTAATATAAGCCTGTCTCTAATATAAGCCCCGTCTCTAATATAAGCCTGTCCCCAATATAAGCACTGTCCCCAATATAAGCACTGTCTCTAATATAAGCCCCGTCTCTAATATAAGCCTGTCCCCAATATAAGCACTGTCCCCAATATAAGCACTGTCCCCAATATAAGCACTGTCTCTAATATAAGTACTGTCTCTAATTAGGATAACTGATACCACATTTTTTCACTTCCGATACCTGAATTTGGATATCTGCCGATACCGATACTATTCCGATACCAGAGCTCTGTTTGCTTATATATTACTATTATCATTATTGTTGATTTTATATGAGGCTGAAATAAACTCCTCTCAACAGGCAAGTATGATATGTACGTATGTATGCATGTATGTCCCAAAAGGCAACTTGAGGTAATTATAAGGTCAGAAAAGGAAGTCAGAAAAACAGGAAATCCTGTTAACAGGAAAAATCCCATCCTGAAAACAAATATGCAACTGTAAGGGTTTCAAATTGATTGTCATGTCAATATTTATTAAATTCCAAAAATGTCAAATATTAAACATCTTACACACACACACACACACACACATTATCCCTTTAGCTTTCCCGTTGTCTGCCTGGAGTTTACGTTGTTTTTGGAACGACTCCAGAAGTGATTCCTGACAGCTCCTTTTGTCTTCCTGCCCCCTGGCTAAAAAATCCTTGTGCTCTTTTGTGTGGTGCTTTTTTAAATATTTGATTGTGTTCGTAGTGTTGTACGACGATATAAGCACCGTCTCTAATATAAGCACTGTCTCTAATATAAGCCCTGTCTAATATATATACAGGCTCTCTGCTGTTTGTTCTCATGAGATGTTTTTATGAGCGTTAAGTCTAAAATCTGATCTGTTTCCTGTCGGTGTTCAGTTGATATGAATCCCAGTAAGCGGCATTTCCTACAGAAGAAAACTCTGTATGAGGAGGGACGGATTCAAACTCCTGAGCTGCTGTCGTCTGATGACCTCTGTACGTTAACACATATTTTCTCACTGTTTTTATTCATTTTGTTTCATCTTATGTCTCATGTTACTTGGTCTGCTCCATTATCTTCTTCTCTATTATGTTCTCTCATGTCATATGTCCTCAGATGGAGGGAGGAGTCCTGTGGAGCTCAGAGGACCAGAGGAGAGTGACGAGCTGGATTATCTTCCTACTAAACACCACTGACAAAAAGCAACAGAGTGCCGCACTAAAGGACCAAAGACGTGAACTCTTTTATCATCATGTCTGTATCATAAACTGATGTGGACCTGCTGTCAGCAGAGTCACAGACTCGTTGAATCCGTTAAGTTTTCCAGTATGAGGGTCTTTGGAGACGTTCCAGCTGCAAACTGTTTGTCTCTGCTTTAATGTGACCAGTTGAATGTGAAGCAGATGATAAGAATCAGTCACACAGCAGAGATCAACATGGAGGTACGACTGCAGTCACTTTATTATTTTATATCACACTGCCTGCTAGACTGGAAACTGGATTATTTATTCACATCTGTTTTTAGTTGATTTTAGGCACAAACTAACTGTAATTCTTTGTCAAAAAATGTTGAAAAAAAATGAAATATAAAATAATAATAACATCTGAAGGTAGCTGGGCTCGTCCCGTTTGACTCACATTCCGGCTTTTTATTTTCAGTTTCTTAACGTTGATATTTATTTGTTTTTCACATTTGAAACTTAACATACTGTGGAACAAATAGTCCCAATGAGCAGACATATATTTGTCATTTACAGCACTGCCATATTTAAAGTTTATTAGTATTCATTTTTGATATATTGATTTGTGTAAATGATCCTTTTCCCCCGTTTTTCTGTCACAAATATTGCCTTTAACTCTTTAAAAGGGAAACTAACTTTATAATTTCTGCAATAAGTTATCATTCCTTTCATATCCCATAATGTTTTTGATGGCTGTAAATTGTCCCAGAAAGGTTTTATTTTCCTCCTCATCCTGCAGTTTTAAGAAGAACCGATCAATTCAATTCAATTCAATTCAATTCAATTTTATTTGTATAGCACCAATTCATAACAGACGTTATCTCAGGACACTTTTCAAATAGAGCAGGTCTAGACCGAACTCTTTAAAACATTAATTACAGAGACCCAACAGTACCACCATGAGCAAGACACTTGGCGACAAGGGCAAGGAAACACTGCCTGTTAAAAGGCAGAAACCTAGGACAGATCCTTCGGCTCTAGGTGGGTGGTGTCCGACCAGTTGGGGAGAGAGAGAGAGAGCGAGAGAGACAGACAGACAGAGAGAGAGAGAGAGAGACAGACAGAAAGACAGACAGGTGCACAGCAACAACAGTATTGGCAATGGCAGTCTAGCAGGACCATGGCAGGAGGCTCCACCAGGATCCATAAGAACCTGCGAGACAAGAAAGCACAAGAACTCCGGGGAAGAAGTGGAGTTAGTAACATGCATTAATGGAACATGAATGAGTGCAGAAAGAGAGAGGAAGAGAGGAGCTCAGTGCACCATGGGAAATCCCCCGATAGTCTAGGCCTATAGCAGCATAACTAAGGGATGGTTCAGGACTCACCTGATCCAGCCCTAACTATAAGCTTTATCAAAGAGGAATGTCTTAAGCCTACTCTTGAATGTGGAGAGGGTGTCTGCCTCCCGAACCACAACTGGAAGCTGGTTCCACAGGAGAGGAGCTTGGTAACTGAAGGCTCTGGCTCCTGTTCTACTTTTAGAGACTATAGGAACCACAAGTAGCCCAGCATTCAGAGAACGTAGTGTTCTAGAGGGGTAATAGGGTACTATGAGCTCTTTAAGATATGAAGGGGCCTGACCATGAAGAGCTTTATAGGTGAGGAGGAGGATTTTAAATTCTATTCTACATTTTATAGGGAGCCAGTGCAGAGAAGCTAGTACAGGAGAGATGTGATCTCTTTTTCTAGTTCCTGTCAGTACTCGTGCTGCAGCGTTCTGAATTAATTGGACTTTAAATAATTTGTTCCTCTGTTGATCCTTCATTATATCAGTAGAACAGGATCAATATGACAATAAATAATAATCAATGTTAAATAAATTCAACGTGTTTAAATGTCTGAATGAAGATTATTGAACATATTTAACTGTTTGTGGACTCGTTATGTGGCTAATGTCGGCTAGCTGCTAGCATAATGTTACCGTTACAGTATTAATGATATTAGCTGTCTGTTAGCCGTTAGCAGCCGTTAGCCTCCATTAGCAGCCGGAGGAGGAGGAGGAGGAGGAGGGAGGAGGAGGAGGAGGAGGGGGAGGAGGGGAGGAGGGAGGGGGAGGAGGGGGAGGAGGGAGGAGGGGGGAGGAGGAGGAGGAGGAGGGGGAGGAGGGGGAGGGGGAGGAGGAGGAGGGGGGGAGGAGGAGGAGGGGGGTTAGCCTAACGACCCAACCCCGCGAGCTAGCTGCACAGCCCGCTTCTGTCTAGGTAGCTAGTTAGCAGGCTAATGCTAACACAAGCCTTTTTATTCCTGAGAGAAAACTGACCGGGTTTGTTTCGAGGACCGGGACCGGGTTTGTTTCGAGGACCGGGACCGGGACCGGGTTTGTTTCGAGGACCGGGACCGGGACCGGGTTTGTTTCGAGGACCGGGACCGGGTTTGTCTCGAGGACCGGGACCGGGACCGGGTTTGTCTCGAGGACCGGGACCGGGTTTGTTTCGAGGACCGGGAGCCGCCGACCCGACAGCAGCATGGCGACCCCCCCCGCAGCGATACAGCCCCGCTGGAAGCGCGTCCTGGGCTGGACGGGCCCGGTACCGCGGCCCCGGCACGGACACCGGGCGGTGACCATTAAGGAGCTGATGGTGGTGTTCGGCGGCGGGAACGAGGGCATCGTGGACGAGCTGCACGTCTACAACACAGGTAGCAGCTAACGGTAGCAGCTAACGTTAGCAGCTAACGGTAGCAGCTAACGGTAGCAGCTAACGTTAGCTTCCAGCGGCTGCTACACTCTCAATGCTAAATACAAGCTAGCATTAGCATTAGCTAACGCCGCTAAATAGCCACCATACTTTATTCTGTGTGGTTGAACGGATGCTTGGAGCCCACTGGGGGCCACTGGAGCCCACTGGGGGCCACTGGGCCCACTGGAGCCCACTGGGGGCCACTGGAGCCCACTGGAGCCCACTGGGGCCCACTGGGGGCCACTGGAGCCCACTGGGGGCCACTGGGGCCCACTGGGGCCCACTGGGGGCCACTGGGGCCCACTGGGGGCACTGGAGCCCACTGGGGGCCACTGGAGCCCACTGGGGGCCACTGGGTTAGCTTCTTCTGCTCGTTGAAGCTAGCGCGGTAGCTCCGTAGCTAACGGAGCGGCTAGCTGCCGGAGCTAACGGAGCTAACGGAGCGGCTCTGGCAGCAACAGAGAGAAATGGCGCGTTTTTACTGAAAACATTGGCGACGTCACACAGACACGCCCCCTCCGCTGCAGCAGCAGAGATGATGAAAACAACAACAACAACAACAATAATAATAATAATACTTTATAGTATCATATTGGGAGCAAACTGTAATTTTATGTGTCTCAAGCTCATTATGTTGTTTTTAAATATTTTTTTCTGTTTTCTACATACATTGTTTTTATATATTTTAATGCACACTTTAAAAATATTGTTATTCTTTCTATTTCTTATGTTGTCTTTGTTAGGATAAGATAAGATATTCCTTTATTTGTCCCCCTAAGGACAAATTCAGGTTGACACCGCAGCAATAGGGCAAAGCAGCACAAACACAGAACAAAGAACATCACAATAAAAATATTACTAATATTATTAATATTAGAAGATATAAAACTATAAATTAAAGTATATACACTATGAATTGTTCAAGTAGGACATGGAGTCCAAAATATAAGCAGAAAATTAAACTAAATCGAAACAAAAACTACTAAAGTGGAAATTAAATATAAATAGTGCAAAAGGTTTGTGCATTGTAGGTAGGAGTTTTAAACCAGTCTTTGTCTGCTGGGGTTGGAGGTACTGGCTGCTGTGGTGTTGTGGAGTCTGATGGCTGATGGTGCAAATGAGCCTCCAAACCGCTTCGAGGCTCGGGGCTGGGTCAGTCTGTAGCTGAAAGTGCTCCTGAGCAGCCTGAGCTCAATGTAGAGAGGATGAGAGGGGTTGTCCATGATGGCTTTCAGCTTCCCTCTCATCCTCTTCTCCGTCACAGCCTCCACACTGTCCAGCTCCATCCTCACCACCGAGCTGGCCTTCCTCACCAGCTTGCTAAGTTTGTTGGCACCCCCAGTCCAACTTGATCAATAAAGTATTTATAATTCTGAACTACAAACAACAACAAATGAGATTAATCTAAATCTAAAAAAGACAGAAAGTATGATGTGTCTTACTGAGGTCAGAGTTTAACTGCAGTCCGTTGTACTGAAACTGAACGATGGGGCCAAAAGCAATCATTTACTGTAATTTTAAGATTTTAAATGCTGATCCCAAATTCCCTTAATTAACTGACTTTCTGCACAGTGATTTGCCCGCCATGCTCATATTATGAAAAATAATTCATCATCAGGGAAGAATAAAACAGCTTGAACAGCTGTTTTATATTATAATTTTATTGTGTATAATTAAAACGTAAGCATATGGTGGGCCCCCGTCAGGGTGTCACAGATGTAACTGATAACTGTATTATTACTGAATGGAAGTGAGGGACTAATGGGAGAGTTAGTTTGTGGCAGAGCACAGGTTGATATTGTTATTACTGTGTGTGGTTGAATGAAGTGTATCTGACCAGGTGTGTCCCCACCCCCCGCAGCTACCAACCAGTGGTTCATCCCCGCGGTGCGAGGCGATGTCCCCCCCGGCTGTGCCGCCTACGGCTTCGTGTGTGACGGGACGAGGCTGCTTGTGTTTGGAGGGATGGTGGAGTACGGCAAATACAGCAGCGACCTGTATGAGCTGCAGGTCAGTGATATCACTGCAGGGGGCGGGGCCTCGGGACACTGGTGGCGCCCAGTACTGTCAGATCTGATATATTAGAGGTTACCAGACATTTCTGGGCCATTATTAGAGCGCTTAATGACAATTGAATCAATTAAAAAATCCTATTATAACCCAGATCAGTACTGTGCAGACTCTGGCTCCAAGTGGAGAAAGACGGCAGTGGCTGTATCTGGAATATTCTGCCTCATTAGTACGGAGAAAGTGGAGACGGCCACCTTTGATATGTCGTTGATCCACATAATAGAAACCAGCGTGACACAGAATGAAACCGGCAGCAGCTGATGTGTTCACTTCTGTTCACTCTGGCTTTACATCGTCCACTGCAGCGGTCGCTGGAGCAGCAGTGCACACACTTACCTGTGTACCTACCTGTGGTACACAGCTGGGGGGCACTGACACAGCTGCTGAGGTTGACTGTGTGTTTGGTCTCTGCAGGCGAGTCGTTGGGAGTGGAAACGTCTGAAGGCCAAGGCTCCAAAGAATGGCCCGCCCCCCTGCCCCCGCCTCGGACACAGCTTCTCTCTGATTGGTAGTTCCTGCTACCTGTTCGGAGGGCTGGCCAATGACAGCGAAGACCCAAAGAACAACATCCCCAGGTAGGGAACACCAGACTGTCCTCCATCTAAAGCAGGATTATAGACCTCCAGACTATCCGGTCTCTAATGTCTCTTAATGTCTCTTAATATCTCCTGTCCCCGTCAGGTATCTGAACGACCTGTACTGTCTGGAGCTGCGTCCGGGGTCCAGCGTGGTTGGCTGGGAGATCCCGCTGACGTCAGGTCAGCCACCACCGCCTAGGGAGAGCCACACTGCAGTGGTGGCGAGCGGCCGTGGAGGAAACAGACTCATCATCTACGGAGGGATGAGTGGCTGCAGACTGGGAGACCTGTGGGTGCTGGACATTGGTGAGACACAAGAGTCGATGCGTGACTCTCTTCATCACACATGATACTGAACTGACTTCTGATTGGTTCTTCTTCTGATGACCTCACAGACTCTCTGATGTGGAGTAAACCGGCTCTCAGTGGAACCGCCCCCCTTCCCCGCAGCCTACACTCTGCTACTACCATCAACAACAAGTAATACTACACACAGATACTGCAGATACATGCTGTTAATATGACATTGATACTGAATGTCTCACCCATCTGTCTCTCTGTGCCTGTCTCTCTGTGCCTGTCTCTCTGTCAGGATGTATGTGTTTGGGGGCTGGGTCCCTCTGGTGATGGATGATGTCAAAGTGGCAACTCATGAGAAGGAGTGGAAGTGTACCAACACACTGGCCTGCCTCAACCTGGGTATTACACACCTGTGGCTTCATTCACACTGAGACTCACTGTTCATAAAGTAGGAAGATGTCTACCTGTCTATTTACCTGTCCTTCCACCTGTGTGTGCAGGCACAATGTGCTGGGAGACCGTCCTGATGGACAGTGTGGAGGAGAACGTGCCCAGAGCGCGAGCAGGTCACTGCAGCGTCGCCATCAACTCCAGACTCTACATCTGGAGTGGCAGGGACGGATACAGGAAGGCCTGGAACAACCAGGTGTGCTGCAAGGACCTCTGGTACCTGGAGTCAGGTGAGGACAACTGTTTAATAACACCCAGAGACAGGTGACGACCTCTGATGTTGACCACAGGTGTTACACTTGTCTGTCTGACCCTGTCTCACCTGTCTGTCCTCAGAGCGTCCCTGTGCCCCCTCTCGGGTGCAGCTGGTCCGGGCCAACACATCGTCTCTGGAGGTGAGCTGGGGGCCGTCACAGACTGCAGACACCTACCTGCTGCAGCTGCAGAAGTATGACATTCCCCCCACACCTGCCCCTTGTTCCACCCCCATCGCCACACCTGGGGCCAGCTCCCCCAAAATCCCCACCCCCGTTGCCATGACACCAGCTAACCAGACTGTCCCACTGTCTGGTATCACCCTGGTCCCCTCCCCCACTGCCTCTGTACCTGGAAGTCCACTGGCTGCTGCTGCCAAAGCACCAGGTAGGTTACACACCTGTACAGGCAGACGTACAGGCAGACGTACAGGTAGGTCTGACCTGTTTGCTGTGTCTCTGCAGCTGTTCTGAAGGTGGCAGCAGCTCCAGGTGCAGCAGGCGGAGCCTCCATCGTTACAGTGAGACAGGCCAAGTCCACGGGTGCTGTGACGAACCTGCCTGCAGGTGTCCGTATGGTGGTACCTGCTCAAGCCGCTCAGGGGACGGTAAAGACGTTTCTATGATTCTGAACTCTCTGTGGACATGATCAATAATCATCATAATATATAACATGTGCTCCTTCCTGTCTGCTCTCAGCCAATAGGAAGCAGTCCTCAGATGAGCGGCATGGCAGCGTTGGCGGCGGCAGCTGCAGCAACTCAGAAGATCCCTCCGTCAACGGTGCTGAACGTCCCTGCAGGAGCAACGATTGTAAAGACGGTGGCTGTAAGTCCAGGATCCAACAGCCTGCCAGTCAGAGTGTCTGCTCCTGTTACAATGGTACACACACTGTACTACACACTGTACTACACACTGTACTACACACTGTACACACACTGTACCACACACTGTACCACACACTGTACCACACACTGTACTACACACTGTACACACACACTGTACACACACTGTACCACACACTGTACCACACACTGTACTACACACTGTACACACACACTGTACCACACACTGTACACACACTGTACTACACACTGTACTACACACTGTACACACACTGTACCACACACTGTACCACACACTGTACCACACACTGTACCACACACTGTACTACACACTGTACACACACTGTACCACACACTGTACACACACACTGTACCCACACACTGTACCACACACTGTACACACACACTGTACCACACACTGTACTACACACTGTACACACACTGTACTACACACTGTACTAAATACACACACTGTACACACACTGTACCACACACTGTACACACACGTACACACACTGTACACACACACTGTACCACACACTGTACTACACACTGTACTACACACTGTACACACACTGTACTACACACTGTACACACACTGTACAACACACTGTACCACACACTGTACTACACACTGTACCACACACTGTACTACACACTGTACTACACACTGTACACACACTGTACTACACACGCAGTACGCCCTGCAAGGTATTCTGGGAAATACGTTGCCTTACAGTACAAACATGTTACCCTAGGTTTCTGCCTTTTAACAGGCAGTGTTTCCTTGCCCTTGTCTCCAAGGTCTTGCTCATGGTGGTACTGTTGGGTCTCTGTAATTAATGTTATAAAGAGTTCGGTCTAGACCTGCTCTATTTGAAAAGTGTCCTGAGATAACGTCTGTTTCAATATAAACTTGTTACCGTGGAGACTAATGAAAGACATTACGGTATAAAAACGTCCCCTCTGTGTCTCAGGTGAGTAACCCGGCCACTCGCATGCTAAAGACTGCTGCTGCTCAGGTAGGCGGGGCATCTGTAGTGTCCACCCCAGGGACCCCCAGCCGACCAATCATCACGGTCCACAAATCCGGCACAGTGACGGTCTCCCAGCAGGCTCAGGTGGTCACCACAGTGGTGGGCGGAGTCACAAAGACCATCACTCTGGTTAACAGTCCCCTCAGTGTGGGAGGAGGCGGAGCTCTGGTGAGTGAGTGAATGTGTGTAATGATAATATAACTAATTAAATATATAAAGTAATTTCCCCCTGGGATTATTAAAGTATTTCTGATTCTGATTCTGATTAAAGAAATATAACTGTAAGAAAACATGATGACATCACTGCTGCCTCTCTTTCAGATCGGTAACCTTGGTAACCTGGGCAAGATGGTGTCAGTGGTTCAGACCAAACCTGTTCAGAGTGGAGTGGTTACGGTTCAGGCTGGGAGTAACCCTGTCACACAGCTCCTCCAGGTACAGTACCTGAGATATACTGAGGACCACCCCCCCAATGTGTTAACCCCTGACCGAGACATTAACCCCACCCCCCAAGGTGTTAACACCTGAGACATTAACCCCACCCCCCCTCTCTTTCTGTGTCAGACGAAAGGCGCTCTCCCTGCAGGAACCATCTTGAAGTTGGTGACATCAGCAGACGGTAAACAGACCACCCTCCTCAGCACCGCGCAGGCCGGATCCACATCCACCAAACCCACCATCCTGGGTGTCGCCCCGGGAACCTCCAAACCGGGGGCCACGATCATCAAGACTATCCCAATGTCGGCGCTGCAGGGCGGGGCAGGTACAGGAAAAACACACAGCTGGAATACTGCAGCTTCTTTTTATGTTAAACTGACCCTTCCTAGGCCCCGCCCCTTTTTGCTCTGTGCTCCAATCACAGTTGAGTTGGTCTCAGTCAACTTCCTCCTACTTAGATATGCTATATGCTAGGCTAATCTATGTTGAAAAGATGGTAAAAGATCAAAGTTAGCTAATGTTAGTAAAATGCCTGCTAACTAACGATTGATGTAGTCTCTTTTATCTTTTAACAATCTACAAAGTGTGGTTGTCTTTTCAACATAGATTTGCTTAGCATATAGCATATCTAAGTACAGGAAAGGAGGAAGTTGACTGAGACCTGCTCAACGGTGATTGGAGCACATAGTAAAATGGGGCGTGGCTTATGATGGGTCAGTTGGATGATTGACTGAGTGAAGCTCCACCCCTCACAGGTGCTAACAGTCCAATCACGATCCTGACCACCAAGATGGTGACACCAGGAAGTCCTGGAAAAATCATCACCACCGTCCCGAAAATCACTGCAGCCGGACAGCAGGGGCTCACACAGGTAACACCTCAACCCATCAGGTCACTGGACGTGCAGGAATTACCCATAATACCCCTCTCTGTAGGGTCTAACAGAACTGTATTCTTGTGTTCAGGTGGTGCTGAAAGGAGCTCCGGGGACGCCTGGTACGATCCTCAGGACTGTACCGATGAGCGGAGTCAGGCTGGTGTCACCGGGAGCTGTCGGCATCAAACCTACTGTCACCACGCTGGTCGTCAAGGCAACCACAGGTAAACACTGGTCCCTGGGCTGTAACTCACCTGTTGACGTTCAGTCCGTCAGTCTGACAGGTGTGTCTCTGCAGGTATGTCCAGTCTGGGGATGTCAACAGGAAGTGTCTCCTCCACGGTCGCAGGAGGAGCTGTCGCTGCCGCCAACGCCTCCCTGGCAACACCCATCACCACCCTGGCAACACCCATCACCACCCTGGCAACCATCGCCACGCTGGCCAACCAGGTTGCCACAGCAACCACAGCAGCAGGACCCAAACAGGTAACAAGACTGACGGCTTTCTACTGTAGTAATTTCAGTTCAGTTATCTTTATGATCCCAAATGGGAAACTTGATTCGCAGTCAGGGGCACAAACAAGGAAAACAAAAAACACTTACAACACACAAATGCTTCCTTCACATATAAAATAGAGTAATAAACATAAAAAATACAGTAATAATCATATAATAAACATATAAGATACAGTAATGAACATATAATAAACATAAAAAATACAGTAATAATCATATAATAAACATATAAGATAAGTAATGAACATATAATAAACATAAAAAATACAGTAATAAACATATAAGATACAGTAATGAACATATAATAAACAAAAAATACAGTAATAATCATATAATAAACATATAAGATAAGTAATGAACATATAATAAACATAAAAAATACAGTAATAATCATATAATAAACATATAAGATACAGTAATGAACATATAATAAACATAAAAAATACAGTAATAATCATATAATAAACATATAAGATACAGTAATGAACATATAATAAACATAAAATAAAGTAATAAACATAAGATAAGTAATAAACATGTAATAAACATAAGATACAGTAATGAACCTATAATAAACATAAGATACAGTAATGAACCTATAATAAACATATAAAATACAGTAAAAAACATGATACAGTAATGAACATATAAGATTCAGTAATAAACATAATATACAGTAATAAACATATAAGATATAGTAATAAATACGTAATAAACATAAGATAAGTAATGAAAGTATAATAAACATATAAGATACAGTAATGAACATATAATAAACATAAGATACAGTAATAAACATGTAAGATACAGTAAAAAACTTGTAATAAACATAAGATACAGTAATGAACATAAGATACAGTAATAAACATATAAGATTCAGTAAGCAGTAATGGATGTGCCTGTCCCCATGCTGGACCATCTAAAGGGGACACAGACGCAGGACTGAGGAGAGCCAGTGGAAGAGGAGCTCTCCCCCTCTGAGAAAAAGTCTACATCCAGACCACCAAGGTTACAGCTAGATTAAATCACAAACAGTTCCTCAGCTCAGACATGTGGCTGAATACGGTTGGATGCAGATGAGTGACAGGACCTTTTTAGGTGTAAAGTGATCAAAGCATCCTCTACTCTCATCCCAGCCGTAACTGCAGGGGGAGGGGGGTCCAGTTGGTTGACCAGCCTTTCAAATGACTTCAGACCAGTGAAGTCAGTGCCACTGGTCTGAAGTCTTTTAGCTCCTTGGGGGTTCTGCTCTCAGCTGCTGGGACAGTGGTAATACTGTAGTTCTGTCTCTGCACTGTAGTACTTCACTGTGTCTCTGTACAGTACTACAGTACTGTGGCGTTGTACCTTTAGTACTGTACTAATACTTTAGTTTTGTGTCTATAGGTGACTCTGATCACAACTCCAAGCGGTGCCGAGGCTCAGCCGCTGGTCCAGGATTTGCCTGTCTCCATCATGGCTTCTCCTACTTCAGAAGAACCTGGAAGTACTACAACTACTACTACTACTGCAGGGGGAGAGGCTGGGGACACCTCAGCTGCCACAGGTACACAATATGCTACTACTACTATTACTACTACTACTACTACTACTATTCCTATTACTACTATTCCTATTACTACTATTCAATTCAATTCAGTTTTATTTGTATAGGGCCAATTCATAACAGAAGTTATCTCAGGACACTTTTCAAATAGAGCAGGTCTAGACCGAACTCTTTAAAACATTAATTACAGAGACCCAACAGTACCACCATGAGCAAGACCTTGGAGACAAGGGCAAGGAAAAACTGCCTGTTAAAAGGCAGAAACCTAGGACAGATCCTTCGGCTCTAGGTGGGTGGTCGTCTGTCTCGACCAGTTGGGGTGAGAGAGAGAGAGAGAGAGAGAGAGACAGACAGACAGACAGACAGACAGGTGCACAGCAACAACAGTATTGGCAATGGCAATCTAGCAGGACCATGGCAGGAGGCTCCACCAGGATCCATGAGAACCTGCGAGACAAGAAAGCACAAGAACTCCGGGGAAGAAGTGAAGTTAGTAACATGCATTAATGGAACATGAATGAGTGCAGAAAGAGAGAGGAAGGGAGGAGCTCAGTGCACCATGGGAAATCCCCCGATAGTCTAGGCCTATAGCAGCATAACTAAGGGATGGTTCAGGACTCACCTGATCCAGCCCTAACTATAAGCTTTATCAAAGAGGAATGTCTTAAGCCTACTCTTGAATGTGGTGAGGGTGTCTGCCTCCCGAACCGCAACTGGAAGCTGGTTCCACAGGAGAGGAGCTTGGTAACTGAAGGCTCTGGCTCCTGTTCTACTTTTAGAGACTATAGGAACCACAAGTAGCCCAGCATTCAGAGAACGTAGTGTTCTAGAGGGGTAATAGGGTACTATGAGCTCTTTAAGATATGAAGGGGCCTGACCATGAAGAGCTTTATAGGTGAGGAGGAGGATTTTAAATTATATTCTACATTTTACAGGGAGCCAGTGCAGAGTAGCTAGTACAGGAGAGATGTGATCTCTTTTTCTAGTTCCTGTCAGTACTCGTGCTGCAGCGTTCTGAATTAATTGGAGCGTTTTAATGGACTTATTGGGGCAACCTGATAATAAAGAGTTGCAGTAATCCAGCCTTGAAGTAACAAATGCATGGATTAGTTTTTCTGCATCTGTCTGTGATAGGATGTGTCTAATCTTTGTAATATTACGTAAATGAAAGAAGGCAGTCCTAGAGGTCTGCTTTATGTGGGAGTTAAAAGACAAATCCTGATCAAAGATAACTTAAGTAACTTAAGATAACTAAAGTTATATACTACTACTACTATTACTACTACTAGTACTGCTATTACTACTACTATTACTATTACTTCTACTATTACTACTGCTACTACTTTTACTACTACTGTTACAGTAACAGTTACTTTTACTACAGTACTGCTGCCACAGTGCAGTAAACCATTGTAGAGGTGTGTTGATGATGTCACTGATGATGTCGCAGTGATGGTGGTTTGCTCCAACCCACCCTGTGAGACACACGACACGGGAACAACCAACACCGCCTCTGTCTCCACGGCAACTATGGGTGGTAGTGACAGAGTGTGCTCCAACCCACCCTGTGAGACACACGAGACTGGAACCACCAACACCGCCACCACAGCTGGAGCTGGAGGGCTCAGACAGGTGAGAGAACACCTGCCTGCAGACAGGTGTACGCTGATGATCAGTGATTGCTTAAACCTGTGTGGAGACTGACCTCTGAGTGTTTGTTCCTCCAGGTGTGTTCGAACCCGCCGTGTGAGACCCATGAGACCGGAACCACCAACACCACCACCACAGCTACAGGTAACCTGCCGACTCACCTGGAGAGTTAAAACGTGTAAAGCAGGAACATCGTCAATAAGACATCAAATGTTTGCGTCTAACAGGAGATTGTGACATCACTTCCTGTCCTCTGTTTCTCCAGCTCAGCAGGGTGGAGACGGTCCTCAGGGAGAATCCACAGAACCCTCCTCCTCCTCTGACCCCGCCTCCTCCACAGCCAGTCAGAGCAGAGCTGTTACCACAGTGACACAGGCCACGCCCACCCCCGGACCCTCCGTACCTGTAAGTCACACGTCATCGTCATCGTCATCGTCGTGACGTCCCATGATAACATCTTTGTGTGTGTGTGTGTGTGTGTGTGTGTGTGTGTGTGTGTGTGTGTGTGTGTGTGTGTGTGTGTGTGTGTGTGTGTGTGTGTGTGCGTGCAGGAGATCTCCTCATTGCTAGGAGAGGGCAGGATGGAGTCCTCGGAAGCTGTTGCCATGGCGGCAGCAGTGGAGCGGGAGGAGCCTATGCAGACGGACAGCCATCAATCAGGGGATGTGATGTCATCGGCGGGCGCAGTGTTACAGGTTCATGTGGAGGGCAGCGAGGCCTCAGACAGCGGTCTCCCTCAAGAGCTGATGTCATCAGAAGGGGACGGAAGTGACATGGTTTCCGGTGCGACCACTCTGATGGTGACAGGACTGACCGTGGATCAGCTGGCTGTTACCGCAGCAACAGAGGAGGCAGTTCCAACAATACAGGCAGCGGCACACATGGGTAAGATACACAGCTAACACGCTAACGTCAGGCTAACACGCATGAAGCTAACGCCAGGCTACGCGCCAGATTAAGGTGTTTGTGTGTGTGTGGCAATTTCTTTAATAAAGTATGCAAAGTATGATCTTGTCTTTCTGTAAGGTTTTATTCAAGTCATCCATGAATGGTCTCAACGCCACCGTCACACACTCTCGTATGTGAAAGTCTGAAAGAGCCCCGATTGGAAGAAGCAGTATGGTTTTATCCCTGTTGGAGCGTCGCTCTAACACAGTTACACATTCCTGAGTTACAGTAAACAGACTGATAGTGTGGTGAGATGATCATGTCCTTCTTAGTGAAGTCTCAACATCCCGCTGTTTACCTGGACATAGAGTGTAGGTAGAAACAGGGTTAAAGGTTGTATGCATATAATATCCTCTTTAACAGTTGCATATGGTTTTACAATGACCAGGTCAAAGGTTGTATAGGTTCTTAAAAACTGCCATCACACTCCTCCCTTTGAACATTTTTTATGCTCACAAAATATTTTTTAAGAACTAAACAAACAGTCAAAACATCCATGGATGATGGAAAAATCAATCGAGTTTTTAATCATTAGCAGTGATTTTGGTTATGTATGATAAATTTATGTGATATAATCATGAGTGATTTTACAAAGATAGGAAAAAAAGGAATATAAATAAGAAAAAATCTGATTACACTTCATCCAAATCTTAAACAATGTAATCTATTCTAAAGATGTGGAGAATTCGCACATACTAGCAAATATTTAACCACAGTGATAATTAGAGCTTTAGTGTAAGGGATTATACAACATCTCAAAGTATTAAACAGTACAAAGATAGTGATCAAAGGTCTCAACACTTTTTGCAGTGTATTCTAAAATTCGCCCGTGGTCAGTCAGGCACATATTCTCCATCCTTCTGGAGCCCGACAGTCCTTACTTTCCTCTTCATGCAGGAAGTCATTATGGTGAGAAACATCATTAGTCATCAGTGTTTCCTCTATGTTGATTTTGGAGCAGTGGCCCGCCACTGTTAAATTTCTGCCATTAGAAATGGGGCAGACGCACAATGTAGTCCCGGTTGCCTTTTAAATGATCCTGCCGACATAATGCACCCCCGTTGGCTGCCGCTCACAGTGCAGTTTAACAACAAGTAGAACTATTCAGAGGTTATTGGGGCTGTCCAGTTTAACTCCACATACTGTTGTGTTGATGTAGCTTATTGTCAAGACGTTCGCTTTCTTCCAAGTCGACTGTTAAACTAACAGCTCCACCAAAAACGTCACTGCGGTGGGTCCGTTTTAATTGGACAACAGGGATGCTGGTAGCACCTCCCTTTTTGCCCTATTGTTTGGCTTTCCTGATTTTGATGCACGCTTGATGTTCATCTTAGTTCTGGGAGTCTGCAGTGGCTGCTATGGATCCAAGTTGCTCTCTTAGGGACCTTTACTGCTGTTCTCATTGTGAGGAGTAACTTCATCACAATCCCGTCGCCTGGTGTTGGTCGTAGAATTTTCCTCAGCAGCCTTTGGTATGGCTTCTTTCAGCTGCTTGTGGAGATAAGCACAGGGAACATGTTTGCACAATAACGCAGCATTTCATCTTCCCATTGACCGGTGTCAGGGAGTTCTTTACTTTTAACAGGACCAATCCCAGTGTTTAGTGGTCTCCCAAATAGGATTTCAAATGGACCACTTCTGTTCCTTACTCTGGCACTTGGACTGCGCTCTTCTGGACTGAGGCTTCTGATGTTGTTCCTGGGATCTGTTGGAGCCACTCCCCCAGTTTGGGAGTCACTGCCCCGAGAGCTCCTACTACCACGGGGATTACGCTCGCCTTGATCTTCCACATCTGCTCCAGCTGTTCTTTCAACCCTTGGTACTTTTCAACCTTTTCGTGTTCCTTCTTTCTGATGTTGGCGTCTGCTGGTATGGCCACATCTATCACCACCGCCTTCTTCTGCTCCTTGTCTACCACCACTATATCTGGTTGGTTGGCCAGGACCTGTTTGTCAGTCTGGAAGCTGAAGTCCCTCAGCACCTTGGCCCTGTTGTTCTCAGCCACCTTCTGTGGTGTGGCCCATTGGGATGGCCTGTTCTTGTGCTGCCATGATCAGTGCCTCTGTGCTGTCTCTGAGTCCAGCCTTTTCCAGCCATTGGTAGGCCTTCTCGATATCAGCCACTTCTTCAATTTGGCGGTGGTACCTGCCATGTAGGGGCTTGTCCCTCCAGGTTTTCTGCTCCTCTTCCTCCGCACTCTTATCGGGTTTCTGTTGCCTGAGACATTCACTTAGCAGTTCATCCTTTGTGGCCATTTTTCTGATGTACTCTTGGATTTTTGATGTTTCATCCTGGATAGCGGCCTTGATGCTCACTAGTCCTCGGCCTCCCTCTTTCCGCTTAGCGTACAGTCTCAGGGTGCTGGATTTGGGGTGAAACCCTCCGTGCATGGTGAGGAGCTTTCTTGTCTTGATATCTGTGGCTTCTATCTCCTCCTTTGGCGAGCTTATGATCCCAGCAGGGTATCTGATGACTGGTAGTGCGTACATGTTCAATTCAATTCAATTCAATTTTATTTGTATAGCGCCAATTCATAACAGAAGTTATCTCAGGACACTTTTCAAATAGAGCAGGTCTAGACCGAACTCTTTAACATTAATTACAGAGACCCAACAGTACCACCATGAGCAAGCACTTGGCGACAAGGGCAAGGAAAAACTGCCTGTTAAAAGGCAGAAACCTAGGACAGATCCTCCGGCTCTAGGTGGGTGGTCGTCTGTCTCGACCAGTTGGGGTGAGAGAGAGAGAGAGAGAGAGAGAGAGCGAGAGACAGACAGACAGGTGCACAGCAACAACAGTATTGGCAATGGCAGTCAAGCAGGACCATGGCAGGAGGCTCCACCAGGATCCATGAGAACCTGCGAGACGAGAAAGCACAAGAACTCCGGGGAAGAAGTGGAGTTAGTAACATGCATTAAAGGGACATGAATGAGTGCAGAAAGAGAGAGGAAGAGAGTAGCTCAGTGCACCATGGGAAATCCCCCGATAGTCTAGGCCTATAGCAGCATGACTAAGGGATGGTTCAGGACTCACCTGATCCAGCCCTAACTATAAGCTTTATCAAAGAGGAATGTCTTAAGCCTACTCTTGAATGTGGTGAGGGTGTCTGCCTCCCGAACCACAACTGGAAGCTGGTTCCACAGGAGAGGAGCTTGGTAACTGAAGGCTCTGGCTCCTGTTCTACTTTTAGAGACTATAGGAACCACAAGTAGCCCAGCATTCAGAGAACGTAGTGTTCTAGTGGGGTAATAGGGTACTATGAGCTCTTTAAGATATGAAGGGGCCTGACCATGAAGAGCTTTATAGGTGAGGAGGAGGATTTTAAATTCAATTCTACATTTTACAGGGAGCCAATGCAGAGAAGCTAGTACAGGAGAGATGTGATCTCTTTTTCTAGTTCCTGTCAGTACTCGTGCTGCAGCGTTCTGAATTAATTGGAGCGTTTTAATGGACTTATTGGGGCAACCTGATAATAAAGAGTTGCAGTAATCCAGCCTTGAAGTAACAAATGCATGGATTAGTTTTTCTGCATCTGTCTGTGATAGGATGTGTCTAATTTTTGTAATATTACGTAAATGAAAGAAGGCAGTCCTAGAGGTCTGCTTCATGTGGGAGTTAAATGACAAATCCTGATCAAAGATAACTCCAAGATTCCTGACAGTGGTGCTAGAGGCCAAGTTAATGCCATCTAGAGTGACTATATCTTTAGACAATGAGTCTCTAAGGTTTTTGGGGCCAAGAACAAGAATTTTGTTTTTTTCTGAGTTTAACATCAGAAAATTGCAGGTCATCCAGGATTTTATGTCCTTAAGACATGTTTGTAATTTAGATAATTGATTAATTTCATCGGGCTTGATCGATAAATATAACTGCGTATCATCTGCATAACAGTGAAAGTTAATGGAGTGATTCCTAATAATGTTGCCTAAAGGGAGCATATATAAAGTAAATAGTATTGGTCCAAGTACAGAACCTTGTGGAACTCCATGATTAACTTTAGTATTTATGGAGGATTCATCGTTAACATGTACAAACTGAGAACGATCTGATAAATATGACTTAAACCAGGTTAGTGCGGTTCCTTTAATGCCAATTTGATGCTCAAGTCTCTGTAAAAGAATATTATGGTCAATGGTGTCAAATGCAGCACTAAGATCTAATAATACAAGTACAGAGACAAGTCCATTGTCAGAAGCAATCAGAAGGTCATTATTAACTTTAACCAGAGCTGTCTCTGTGCTGTGATGAACTCTAAATCCTGACTGAAAATCCTCAAATAAACTATTGTTATGTAGAAAGTCACACAACTCTTTG